ATGCTCTGTTCCACAGTCAGCTCCTGGCCATCACTTTGGGGCAGTCTTTTTTTAAAATTTATTTTTGGCTGAAGATATTGAGCTTTTCTATCACTTCTTGCCACAGATGTAGTCAGTCTGATTCCTGTGTATTCTGTCTGGCGAAGTTGACATGTATAGCCATGTTTATGTTGCTGAAAAAAGGTATTTGCAATGAATAAGTCGTTGGTCTTGCAAAATTCTGTTGTGCAGTCTCCAGCATCATTTCTGTCACCAGGGCCATGTTTTCTAACTACTGGTGATTCTTCTTTGTTTCCAACTTTTGCATTCCAATTACAAGTGATAATTAACACATCTCGATTGCATGTTTGGTCAATTTCAGACTGCAGAAGTTGGTAAAAATCTCCAATTTCCTCATCTTTGGCTTTGGTGGTTGGTGCATAAATTTGAATAATAGTAGTACTAACTGGTCTTCCTCATAGGTGTATAGATACTGTCCTATCACTGACAGCATTATACTTCAGGATAGATCTTGATGCATTCTTTGTGATGATGAACTCCATGCCATTCTTCAATTTGTCATTCTCTGCATAGTAGATCATATGATTGATTCAAACTGGCCAAAACCAGTCCATTTCAGGTCACTAATGCTTAGGATATCAATCTTTATGCATTCCATTTCATTGTTGACAACTTACAACTTTCCTAGATTCATACTTTATACATTTCATGTCCTGATTATTAATTATGAATGGATATTTACAGCTGTTTCTTCTCATCTTGAGACATGCCACATGAACAAATGGAGGTCCCGAAAGCGTTACTCTATCCACATCATTAAGGTCGGCTCTACTTTGAGGAAGCAACTCTTCTCCAATCATAGTTTGAGTGCCTTCCAACCTTAGGGGCTCATCTTCTGGCACTGTACTGGACAGTGTCTCAGGGCTATTCATAAAGTTTTCCGATAATATATCAGACAGCGTTTCACTGCTATTCATAAGGTTTTCATTGGCCAATTCTTTGAGAAGTGGATGGAGTCTTTCTTCTTCTGAGTCTGTCTTAGTCTGGAAGCTCAGCTGAAACCTGTCCAGCATGGGTGACCCTGCTGGCATTTGAAACACCAGTGGCGTAGCTTTCAGCCTAACAGGACACTCAAGCCACCATAGTATGACAAACTGACAGACAAGTTTGTTTCCCTTAGCTGTTCCAAACTGCTCTGCTCATTTACTGCACCTTTATTTTTCTTGGGAGCTCTGGTAGCATAGTGTCTAAGGCATTTGACTGCTAACCAGTAGCCTGGCGGTTCGTATCCCCCAGCCACTCCTCAGAAGGAAGGTTGGGCAATCTATTTCCATAGTGATACTGCCTCAGAAACCTAAGGAGGGGTCGCTATAAATCAGATCTGACTCCGTGGCAACAGGTTTCGTTTGGTTTATTTTTCTTTACTTTCCAGCCTTTTTGTTGCCTGACCTTTGTTTTTCATTTACATAGTGAGTGGTTATGCTGAGTTTATTTAATATTCTAATCTACCAACACTTGTGCTATCATGAGTTTATCACAAGGTATAAGTAAATGGTAGACTTTTAATTAATTGACCTTAGTGTTTTCATATTAATTGTTTATATAGAACTTTAAATCCTCACATTTAATAATTTCAGATTTAGCATAATTAGTCTCTTTCCCACAGTTAACTTTCTGCACTCAGTCTGCAGTAGACTTGGAAAACAGTTCACCAGAATTGTTAGAACTGAACATGAAACAAAAATAAACAAGTGAAGGAGCTTAAGGAGTTCTTTTTTCAAGACAAAGTACATGATGACATAAGCCCCTGAGAACTTTTTATCTCTTTGGTTTTTACCTTTGCCTGAAGTCAGTGAGATTTGCAACTGTAGTAGTATGTTCACATTAAATATTCATGACAGCAAGCTACATTTGTGTCAGAGAAGAGAGTATTGCAAGAAACACTTTTTATCTTTATTTATTAAATGCACAATAGTAAACAAGGATTGTATTAATTTTATAATTCAAAGTTTATGAATTATTCCCTTCTGGATCTTCTGTGTGTTTCTTACCTGATTACTCTTTACCACCTTTTGAAAAATAGTATATGTCTCTTTACTTGCATTTGGCCACAGAAATTTATGTTGTCAGAAGTTGGAAAATGGCATAAAATGTGATGGAAGTATACAGGACCAATGCATGATTTTTTTTTATCTTCTGCTGAGTCATCACTTTGGGGCAGTCTTTTTTTTTTAATTTAAGAGTTTGTTTTACATTCAACGTTATGGGTACATTTAGTTTCACTCCCCATTTACCATGCCAGCCCTAACCCAGTCTCCTCCCCTCCCTGCCCAGTAACCCCCCCCCCCCCCCCCCCCTCATAGTTATGCACTTCTTTTTGTCCTCTGTGTGAATGTTGCCCCTCTGGTGCCCTATGGTCTGTTGTTCCAAGGGGTATATTTCCATAAAGTATGTGGGTGTGTCACCCTGGGTTGAGTGGTCTACATGTATATCTTGTTAACTATTGGGCTGAGAGCCAGCCCCTGGGAATGAGTTTCATTCCAGGTGCAGAATGTATTCCAGGGCCATAGTGTTGGGGGTCTCACCAGATTCCATCCAACCAGTAATTCTGGTTATTACTAAGTTTTTGAATTTTATTCCACGTTTTCCCTCCCAGTCTCTCCAGGATCTCTATATTTGGTCCTTTCCTGGGTGGTTGGCATTGGTAGCCAGGGACCATCTAGTTCTGGTCTGGAGGGCCATCGTGTCCTAGGGCTGATTGTTCCAAAGGCCCTTGTTATTTTGCACTCTTCTTTGCTTCCGACGCTAGGAGACCATTAGGTGCATCTTAGATGGTCGCTTGAAAGCTTTTAAGACCCCAGTCACTACTCACCAATGTAGGATGAGGAACAAGTCTTTTATGTATTTTGTTGAGCCAATTGAGTCTGGTGTCCCCCAGTACTATGATCCTGAGATGGTAGATCCATTGGATCTCTCTCCCATAGTGTCTGGGTGTCTGAGGGATTGTTCTGTGTCTGTCTTATTTCTGTAAGGATTACAGGTATTTTGTATCACTGGTATCTGTGCAAGATTAGCCTGCACTGAATCTATCCTTGGCCTAGAGTATACTCCTGTTCACTGACCCTCATCTGGTCCTCTCAGGTGTTTATTTGTTTATCTGTAGCCTGGTGTTTGGTGTTAATGGTAATGCAGTATTGTGGGCACACTGGTTGGCATCTGATGTTTTATCTCCTATGTGCACAATTCTTTGTCCTCCCTTTTCTTAATGTTATCATGGTGTTCTCAGACTCTTTCCATATATCCCTCCCCTTACCCACATCAGCGTGTAGGCCCCAACTAGCCTGAAATTAATCCCTCCCGTTCCCTCCTGGTAACCTACAATGTAAGTCCCCTTTCGCAAGCAAGCCCTTCTTTGTCTTTTTACAGTAATGGGCTCATACAGTACTTGTCCTTCTGTGATTGACTTATTTCACTCAGCATGAAGACCTCCAGGTTCTGGGGAAGTCTTATTTGTGGTGGTTAAGAATACAGGCTTTGGAGCAGGTCGAAACTGGTTCAAATCCCAACTTTTTACTTAGCAGCTATGTAACTTTGGGCAGACTACTTTACCTCTCTGAACTTTAGTTTTTTTACCTGTAAAACAGAATATTAGTGCTTGTCCTTCAGGGATGCTATGGACATTAAATAATTAACATAAAAGGATATACAATAGTACCTTGCTGGCAAGAAGCTATTAAACAAATGTTAGGTCTTGTTCTTTTGCTAGATTTCTTTTCCTCCTTAAGCAACTTAAACCAAAAGAAACCAAACCCACTGCCATCAAGTTGATTCTGACTAATTGTAACCCCCGTTTGGTTTCCAAGATGGTAAGTCTTTATGGAAATAGATTACGCCATCTTCCTCTGTGGAGCAGTTGGTGGGTTTGAACCGCCAGTCTTCTGATTAGCAGTCAAATGCCTTAGGCACTGTGGGAACAGAGCTTCTTTAAGCAACTCAAGTACTTGTATAAATAGATGAATGAAGCATTTTTTAAAAACTTACATGTGATATGAATTCAGTGCAGAAAATCATGACAATATCAAATTGAGTCTAACAATATCTGGAGAAGTGGAAACCCATTGCCATTGAGTTGATCCTGACTCATGGTGACTCAGTGTATGTTAGAGTAGTAATGCTCCATAGGGTGCGTATTCAGTGGCTGGTTTTTCACAAGTAGATCACCAGACTTTTCTTCCAAGTCACCTCTGGGTGGACTTGAACTTCCAACCTTTTGGTTAGCAGCTGAGTGCATTAACTGTTGGCACCACCCATGGACTCCAGATATGTAAAGAAGACTGGATTTAAGTGGTATCAGTTTCACAGGCAGAGCTAACAGACCTTGGTGATCAGATATGGGGATAATAAGGGTAAGAGTCTTAAGAATCAAAGATGACTTCACAGCTTCAGGGTTTCCAGACACGGGAATGCCAGTAACAAAGAGCAAAAAGGAAGTATATTTGTGATGAAATGAGGGAACTTCTTTGTGAAAGAATTGATAAAGCAGGGACTTTAAAATTCTACCAGTTTACTGGTTGCCATTGAATCAATTCCAATTCATGATGACCCCATGTGTGTCAGAGTAAAACTGTTCTTTATATTAGATGGAGCTTTGGTGTCTTTTTATATCTCATGCTAGAAAATTCCATGTTTTGGATTGCTATATGTAAGAGGATATTAGTACATGTTATACAGTAAGACTTGTAGAAGCAGGAACTTGTATAATAGGAACCTGTCAGAGAAGGAAAACTCAAATATTTTCTACTAATAGAGAGTGATGAAAAGTGCTAAGAGTGCACCATTAAAGGTGGCAAACTTGCAAGACTCAGAGAAACAAGGCAGTCGCATGGAGGTTCGGCTCTCACAGTTCACTGTATCTGTGAGGCCTAACATGTAATGTGTGTGTTGTTGCAAGTTTGTTGTATCATCTTTTTAACATAGGAGTATCACAAATTACTTTTCAGTCTTCAAGAGATCTATGAAACGAAAAGACAGGAGTTCTATACCGAACGACAGACGAAGGAAGAAGAGATGAAGCAGATGTTTGTTCAGCGAGTAAAGGAAAAAGAAGCCATGTTGAAAGAAGCTGAAAGAGAGGCAAGTACTGCTGGCTTGATGTGACTTGCATGCATTTTTTAGGTGTCCTATTCCTTTGGAGGCTTAATCTCAAGAATTTAGTTGAGATTCTAATTGTTGTTCTTTTGAAATCAGTTATTTAAACACAAAGTCTTTGAACATAGACCTCTACATAATCATAGTCTGAAATCAAAATTAAAACTACGCAATTATTTTTCCATTAGAAATGGTTAACTAAGGACTTGTAATAGATGGGGTTACTGTGCAGTGTTTTAAGTATCTTAAAGGTGAACATAGTATCCATTGAAAACATCATTTGTGTATAGTATCTTCAATCTGATGTCATGAGCCTACTCTTTCTGTTTTTGTTTTTGGACCAGGGTTCAAATCACATGTTGCATTTGGATTTTAAGTTTCTCTGTTGTTGTTGTTGTTGTTGTTGTTGTTATGTGCCGTTGAGTCGGCCCCAACCCATAGCGACCCCTCCTTGGGTTTCCGAGGTGCTATCACTACGGAAATAGATTTCCCAACCTTCCTTCTGAGGAGTGGCTGGTGGGTTTGAACCGCCAGCCTTATGGTTAGCAGTCAAATGCCTTAGGCACTATGCCACCAGAGCTCCTTAAGTTTCTCTAATCTCTTTTATTCAAAAACATCCCTAATTTGAAGTTATTTTTAAGTATGACTATTGGGAAAGGAGTTGTAATGAAAGTAAGGATGGTGGGGTTTTTTTTTTTCTTTTTAGTAGATTCATCTTAAGGTGGTATCAGTGTAAAACTTTTAAGAGTTTATTGTCTCTCATATATCATGCTTCTTAGTTCACTGGTGAGAAGAGAGAGATGTAGAAGTGGTTTATAGTTGATTTTTAAAATCCTGTAGAATAATGTTTTATTTAAATGTGTATGTATTTAAAAAGGGGATTAAAAATTCAGTGACAATAAATTGTTGAAAGAAAAAGAGAAAAACTATTTATCAATAGGTGTTTTGTGGATTTTTTTTGTTGTTGTTATTTTGGGTATTTGGTTCAAGTACCCTTTTGTGTTGAGTATGTATTTAACAAAAGATGAGGATAATTTAAACCTGAAGTACCAAAGTCAAAAATTGTTACAAGCATTCTAAGCTTTTAATTATATAACTTTAGAGACATAGATTTCAGTGATACATTTTATTAGTATTTTAAGGTGTACCTTCTGACTAATTTTTATGTTTTAGAGCCAGTATTACTAATAGCTATAATCAGGACCAGTCTGTGTAGAATAGTATCTAGTCAATAATCATCCCTCCTATGGGACCAAGAATTATCTATGTAAGGACTAAGGGGACTGTATAACTTATTATCCCAATTAGGACAGTTTTGGAGGGAAAGGAGGCTTGCTAATAATTATATGGGATTGGTAGGTATAAACCAGGTCTTTTCTGGGCATACTGGAATATTTTCTTACCTAGCACTTGGCTAGGAGCTCTGGTAGCATAGTGCCTAAGGCACTTGACTGCTAACCAGAAAGCTGGCGGTTGAAACCCACCAGCCACTTCTCAGAAGGAAGGTTGGGTAATCTATTTCTGTAGCGATACTGCCTCGGAAACCGACTTGATGGCACATAACAACAACAACAGCAGCACTTGGCTGCTAGCATTTTAAAGCTATATCAGTAAAAACCAGCAACAACTAATAAAAAGTTAGTTTTTGATAACCCAAAACATTGTTGAAGTCTGCAGTAAAGGACCTTGTTTTTATGGAAAAAACACCTCTTATTTACCTTTTGTATAAATTTAGATTTTCGTAGATCGTTAACTTAAAAAGATGTGCACTTAGATAGTAAGTAGGTAACTACAGTAAGAAGACCCAAAAAAAGACCAAATTCACTGCCATCAGGTTGATTACAACTCATAGTGACCCCTATTGGGTTTCTAGTGCTGTAAATCTTTACAGAAGCAAACTGTCTCATGTTTCTTCTATAGAGCAGCTGGTAGGTTCAAACCACTGGGTAAGCAGCCAAATAGCAGCCTTAACCACTACACTACGAGAGCTCCTTACAGTAACAACAGAACAAATGATTTCATAGCTGGAAATCTTGCTTAAATGTTACCTTTTCTATATCTTTATTTACATCATTCTAAATGAACTAATGAGGCATGTTATGTAAGACAAATTTCCCACACTACCTCCCCCACTACAAGAAAAAGTATACTGTGTATATTTATCCCTCAAATAAAGAGCATGACCATCTTTGAAATATTAAAACTTCCCCATTTTATATGTAAGTCTGTTTCTTAGTATATTAATACCCCTCATCTTTTCTCAATCTAAGTTAAATTTTTATCTTCCTTATAAGCCTTTGCCTATTTACAAACAAGGCTACAGAGGATAGCCCTGAGCAAATGTGCTTTTATGTTTTTTCATGGTTTTATTGATGTTATTTTACATCTAGTAAATACAGTAATCTTGTACTTAAAACAAAACAAAACCCTCCTCTCCCCTTCTAGTTTTTCTCTTTATAATTTTCCTGGAATTTGTAGTCAGCTTCATGAGTGATATTTGAATTCCTCGACATCTTTTCAAGATAAAATTTAAGTGTGCAACCTCTGTTTAAGTAGTATATATATGTGTGTGTGTAGTGTGTGTGTGTGTATATATATAGTGTGTATGTGTGTGTATATATATATGTGTGTGTGTGTGTGTGTGTGTGTATATATATATATATATATATATATATATATATATTCTCCCAAATTTATAGGAGGTGCATACATGCTCAGAGAGCTGTTCTCTCTTTTAATTTATATCTCTGGTCTGCGTAACAGTTAGGTGAGGCTCGCCTTTTAAACACACATGAGCACATTTATTACCGTTTTTGAAAGCAAGAACCATTTATAACAAATTCTAAGGAAGTGATGTTTCTCTGCAAAGGCATCATCCAGGATCAAAGATCTCAGGTTAGAAGAGTCTTCCTTTATCATCTGCTTCAACATGACCCTGTTTCATTTGAATATTTCCTCTATCAGGGGCCTCACTGGCTCACAGGATAACCTACCTATTCCATATTTTGAACTTTTAATTTTTATTAGACTGAGTTTAGCTTTGATTTCTACCCTCAGTCTCTTATTTTTAGTGAAATATTTCCTCAACTATGATATGTCATCTTTTCTAAACACAAGGCCCCACTTTTTGCATGAATTCTGGGTTGCAGCCCAAAATAGAAATTTCCAATCTCAAATTTATCTAACCATTCCAGAGGACCAAAGGGCAAAAACACCAAAACTTTCTTGATGTAGATTCTAGACACTGTGCTTGTGTTCTTGGCATGCCCATCCCTCAGCTGATTCATACGGAGTCAGGTGAAGCCCCATTTGTATTAAGATAAATCATAAACCAGGCAACATTCTTTTGTGTATAGTTGATTATTGAATTTAAGAGCAGGACTTTCCAGACATTTCATTTATATTTCATCTTATTACTAGTCCTTCAACATCTGTTAGAATTTTTTCATGAGCAACATCATAGGTACTATGCAAGGAGCTCTGGTGGTGTAGTGGTCAACGAATTTGGCTGCTAAACAGAAGGTCAGTGTTCAACCCACCAGCTGCTCTGCAGAAGAAAGATGAGGCAGCCTGTTTCCATAAAGATTGACAGCCTTGGAAATCCAATGTTAGGTGCTGGAGATATAAAGAAGAAAAAGGCGTAGCTCCTGTGCTCAGGGAGAAGTGATCATATGAACAGTTACCCTAGGACATGGTGTTCTTAGGGTTTCTTTCGTGGTCAGGCACAGAGGAGGAAGTCCTTAGCCCAGGCAGCTTTTGGAAAAATGTGGGCTTTTGTGTTTTGTTTTTTTAAAATAATAATGACTAATATTTATTGAGTGCTTACTATATGTCAGGCATCATGGTAAAAAGTTAATCTCTCTCTTTGTTTTTTAATAAGCTAATTTTTAAGCTTCCTTTTTTTATCTGTTAGTAATTTCTGAGCTTTATGCCCTTCATAGCTTTGATAAATATGCTTTCTATGATCTGTACAAGACATTCTTTAAAATGTGGAATAAAATAAAGTCAAACACAGGCTTGTCTCTATGTTGGCATCTAATGTACATCATTCCCTGTTTATGGCTTACCAAGGTGATTTTGAGCCCCAAGTAGATGAAAGTATACTGAATGATGTCCTTTAAATATTTTTTCTTCTATATGTCTGCTTTTTCCACTTAACAAGGAAAGTCTCATGTTGTAATGTTATCAACTTTTGCAAAACTCATTTTAAAATGGTTGCATTGAGTATTTGCATAAAAATTTATTTTACTTTATCTCTTGGACACTTAGATTTTTTTCATTATGCTATAAATTCTATAATGAGTTTTTATATATAAAGCTTTCTCTGAACTTAGGATTTCCTTGTTTAGTTTAAATTTCAAGAAGGAGAATGACTGTAGAAAAACATAGATTTTTAAGGTCCTTGACATTAATTGACTTGCTTTTTAAAATCGAATAGCTACAGAATAGCTCTCAACAGTGTTTCACTACACATAGTATCTTTTAATGAATGTATTTTTATTGAGCATCAATTTGAGAAACTTTATTTGAAAATGCTGTAGGTGGAAAATAATAGCGCTAGAAAATAAAATCTCAATCGGAGAAGTGCAAACGTTTAAAAATCGAGTTTTGCTTTTAGCTGTAAAATTTTTATTACATTTGGGTCAAGCATTCTTGGCATGGAAACTCATTTAAAAGTAAAGTTACCAAGACAATTCCATGTCTAAACTTTTACTTTAACGATGAACTTTTGAGACCCTTATGAAGATGGAGACCTCTCCTGAAAATAAGGGTTATACCCTTTCTGCTTTCCTGAGCAAGTCCATTCCTGGGGATGTGCTGCCGCGTAGTGTCATTAATGAGAATTGCATCCTTGTTTCACAGCTCCAGGCCAAATATGAGCACCTTAAAAGAGTTCACCAAGAAGAGAGATTGAAGCTCGACGAAAAGAGAAAAAGTTTGGAAGATGAAATAGCTTGTTTTTCCAAAAAGAGAGCTGCTTCTGAAATATTTCAAAACCAGGCCTTTGTTACTGGTGGTAGCAAGAAGGACAAGGATCGGAAGAAGTAAGTAATCCTTGACCACCCCATCTGTTGTAGCCCTACCCCACTCCCCGCCTATCACTTTCTGTCGCATTGCCCTGTTTGATTTTCTTCATAGTTTTCTCTCACTGTCTCTTTACTTATTACTTGATTGTCTTCTGCCACAAAAATGTCACCTCCTCAAGAGCAGCGACCTCGTTTATGTTGTTCACTGCTGTTTCCCCAGCATTTATAACAGTGCCTAGCATTTAGTAGGTACCCAGTAAATACTTGCCAAAGTGAATGAATAAACAAAATAAAAATACATATTATAAAAAGGTCCATTAGCTGGGGAATGAAAACTTAGCGGCCCTTATTTCCAGCCCCACCTGTGGCTCTAATACACAGCTAGTGACTGCTGACCAACCAGTGTTGTGTTGAATTTCATGTCTAAATGGATGCTATGCTATGCACTTTGTTGGGGAATCATAAATATATAAAAAACAACTAATTCTTAGGGTCACTTTTTTTTTTTTTTTTTTTAACAAATTCTGATATTGATTCTGTGAGGATTTTTATTTTAATAAGGGAAGGAGGCTATCGATTGAAACTCCTGTGCCTTGATGTCAGAGCTTCTGAAACCAATGGTGGACGTAAAGATGCAGAGGAAGGTAGAGAGGGGTCCAGTACAGTGGGGCGGCCATGAGTAGCATTTGGATGATAATCTCAAGGCTTATAGGTTTGGGGTATGTGTTAAAATCAAAGTTATAGAAGTTTTAGAAAATAAGGTTTTTTTTCCTTTTTAACTTTGTGTCCCTCATTTTATTTCTTTCACTTAAAATATCCTTGTCAATTTACCTGTTTGACTGTTGTTGAAATACATTTTGACTAATTCTATTGAGAATGCTACCTTTTGGGTCTTTGCCTCTGTCTCTTCAAACTACCTCTGCTTTAATGGCCTCAAGTTCTCCTTATGTACCTCATAGAGCAACACTTTTTCTAACTTTAATTTTATCACCACATCCATTTCAAATTGAGCATTTTCAGAATATTGTAACTCAATTTCAGAATAGTTAGGAAAACATAATCTTCCATGGTGGCTTCCCAGTTTTGAAATGTAGCAAAGTAAAGTAAATCCACAAGGTTTGGATGGATTTAATCAGCCTATATAGATTTTAGTTTTTTGGGAAGACAGAAGGGGTCCTCATTTATAATCTTCTAATGACACCTCTACAAGGGCATGGTTCTTTGTTTTGTTTATTGATGTATCCATCCTAGAGCCTAGACCAGTGCCTGGCACATGGGCGGCATGGAATTACCTGTCAAAGGAATGAATATGATAGTATAAGAGTTACGTGTCACTCATGTTCTTTAGCTAAAAGATTGCATTTGAAAAGACAAACTATAAATATAATTTATTACTCCTTTTCATCATGCTTTGAGTTATAAAGCTAATGAACCTTTTACCTCTTATCCTTTCATCTCAATTCAAAGTTATTAAAAGTGGATTCCCCAGTTTTATTCCATATGTGAAAGGTAATGATATATTTACCTTGTAAATATTATCACCCTATTCCACTTGAGAACCATTTGTGTGTATCTGTGTGTTTAACTGAGTAATGGCCAAACCTATACTTATTTCCTCAAAAAAATATAGTTGGTGGTTTTTGTTTTTTTCTCCAAAGTTCCATAGCTAAGTATTTTATAGTTTATTAGGTGTATATTTGCTCTTTCTATAAAAGCTTTATAAAATGAATGATTCTAGTATTTTTTATTTCCTATGTTTTTTAAATTGTACCAAGCAGAATAATTTTTTTTTCTCTTTTCAGCTCCAATTTTATATAACAGTCATTCTAAAACTACGTATCACAGATCCTTACAAGTAAAAGTTATTAAAAATTTACAAGTATGCTTTGATTATTTTTTGCTGTTTTTGTTTGTTGTCTTATTAGTTGTATATCTGGTGAGTAGACACAATAACTGCCATTTATAGAAAAATATTTTCAAATATAAGGTCAATACATATGCTAGAGTGAATGATATTACTGATATAGTCACTCTTGTTAGAAATTTTTAAGTTGATGGTCTGAGATGAATCTAGATTGTTTCTCCCTGTTCCGACTTATTGTAACTTTGCAGTGCATTATACCGAAGAGACAGTGCTATTTAAAATACAGAACTTCATATTATGGTTATCTCGGTACATTTCTGTCCCAAGATGAACCTTTTTTTTGTACATACTAAACATAAAATGTTTGAAATATGTTTTGAAATGTATTAATGCCTGAAACTGTAAGCTTTGAATAATTTTATAGTGATTATTAATTTTTTATATCATTACAGAGTTGGCAATAGCTTAAGCCTTTGTATCAGATTATGTAACATGATGACCTTCTAGGCCTCAGTGTGACTTACAGTGATTAATGTATCGAAATAAAATATGTTTAAAGGGAAAAAAATCCATGTATATAAAAATCCATGTAAAACTTTTTTTCTAGTATGAAGATCTTTGGACCTGGGCGCATCATATGATTTTCATTAGGATGTGTTTCATGCTTGTTTAAAACTCTTGTCTTCTAGAGAAAATGAGGTCGAATCATCCTACAAAGAACTTTTTTTTTTTTTTTTAAAGAAATAACTATGAACATCTGAATATTTAAAGATGTTTTAAATCCAGGTAATGCACATCTCAAGGGATATTTGAATTAAAAGTGCCTTTGTAGTATTCTCAGAACAATTTAATGGTTTCTAGCCATTTAGTAGTTGTATGTATGTACACACACACACACACTTAAAGGTATATCATTTCTCATTTTTTGTATTTGAATACTTCTAAATAAAACTGACATTTTACTCTTGAAAAATAAAATATGCCAACATATTGGTTGAAATGTGTTTAAATTAATTTTCTTTTCAAAACTGTCATCTTAAGAAAACATTTTATGAAACATGTTGTTGTTGTTGTTGTTATGTGCCGTCGAGTCAAACCTGACTCATAGCGACCCCTCCTTGGGTTTCCGAGGCAGTATCACTACGGAAGTAGGATTGCCCAACCTTTCTTCCGAGGAGTGGCTAGTGGGTTTGAACCACCAGCCGTCTGGTTAGTAGTCAAGTGCCTTAGCCACTATGCTACCAGAGCTCCTTTATGAAACATAGTTCATTTAATTATAGGTTTGAACTACTTAAAAGAGCACAGAGATATTTTACTAACAAAACGTTTTACCTAGTTTTATGTCAGATTCTGAGCAGTCTGTTTTTTCATGAAGGTTGTATTAGTTGCAAACAGTATGTTTCATTTTATAGTACAATTTGTCTTTACAAACACTTCAATTCCATTTTGGCAGTTGAAATTCTCATATGCCCCTTTGCTTTTTCAAACTTTAGTAAATGATGAGAGTCAGAGAAAAATCTCTGAATTTTCTTCTCAGGATATCTGAGTTCCAGTGGGTGAGGTTCCTGTAGGCAGATAGTCTTTTTATAAAGGGGTCAGCACCGCAATGCTTAGCATTAGCAAAGAAGAGTGTTCTTCAGAGAAGTTCAGTAATGTGTTAGTGAATGATTTGTTATTTGGTAGCCATATTACACAAGCTGTGTAAAACAGCTCTCCTAAGTTTTAATAAATTTACATGCCATAATGATTGTTGGTATGCCAAAGCAAAATTATTAAAGTTTCTAACTTAGTCTGAGGACCCTGCCTAAGACTCTGAACTTAACAAGGGAATAATCATTTTGCAGTACTTTGCTGTGAGAAATCCTCCCTCCTGCTTCAGCCACAATATGACTCTTTAATTTATTCCATGCATTTAGGATTCTGTTTTAAAAGAGTTCTACTGCAAAGGTTTTTTTTTTTATTATTATTATTCATTATGAAGTTCTGGTAGCATAGTGCCTAAGGCACTTGACTGCTAACCAGGCGGTTCAAACCCACCAGCCACTCCTCGGAAGGAAGGTTGGGCAATCTACTTCCGTAGTGATGCTGCCTCGGAAGCACAAGGAGGTGTTGCTATGAGTTGGGTCCGACTCGATGGCACATAACAACAACAACAACATGAAGTTCTAGTTCTCTTTTATACATTTAAAATGTAATTTATTCTTAACTTTTCAGCCACAGGGTTACAAACTGAGTTATTATCCACTGATGCTTAAATTAATAAATCTCGTAGGAACAAAATAAAGCTAGGCATTTTTGCTTAAAAAAATTTTTTTGGAAGCATGTGAAACAAATTGCCCCTAACCAAAAGCCATTAATCTTTGTATATGCTTCTCTAAGTTTTAAAGCTCTTGCATATAGAATATCATTTGAGCTTCCAAACAATACAAAGGAAAATAAATTACACTGATTATTATTATTATCACATTTTTAGAGATGACCTAAATTTAGGCCTAGAATTTCTCATGCATCATTTTCCTACTAGAATTTGGGGCACAAACATGATTGAGGCCGTCTGTGCCATTGTGGAGCATCTAGACCAGTATGGATGACAATCCTGCAGATTTCTGCATAAGACACTCTAACAAAGGTACCTAACCCTACCTACAGATCCCACAAAGTGCAAGAAAATGTCTTGGGGAAGTGACTGGGTCTTAAAAGACTAGGGACAGTTTGTCAGTATATAAAAAGGCAATTCAAATACAAAGAAAAGCATGTATTTGAGAAAATCTTAAGCATACTGGGTAACATAGCTAAATACTATTAGAGTATAAGGGGAGGACTGGAACGTGAGAAAGGGTAAGGTTTTAGAGTTAGGTAAGAGCCACATTAAGAAAGTTTATAAATCATGCTAAAGAATATTATACTCAATCTAGCAGTCAGTGTGAGCCATTGAAAGATTTGAGGAAAGTCACATGGCCAGGTCGTCCTCCAGGGTTCATGGGAAAGATGTGTTGGACGTTGAGTCGCTCCTTGGCCAGAGCAAAGAAGAATGAAGAAAACCAAAGATTCATGGGAACAAATTAGTCCAAGCAACTGGTACACCATGCAGTCCTCAGCCTATATGACTATGAGACCAGAAGAACTAGATGGTGCCCAGCTACCACTGTTAATCATCG